GCTCCCGTCAGATAATGTACCTGGAGCCTGGCAGAGAGCTGTCAGAACAGCAGGCTGCCAGACCTGGTCCTGGACAAAGCAGCTTCCAGAAATGTGAGTCTATTTCCAGACCTTGGCAGCCAGCCCTCACCTGCCCACCAAAGAGGGTCCTGGCCAGCCAACACCCAGCCCACTCTCACCCTTCCGCAGCTTTGCTTCCACTTCTGCTTTCTAGGCTCTGCTTCTCCGACTGGCCTGCCCCACCCTAGCCATTCACTTCCCTTTGACTCCTCCAGAGCTGCCCCACCCACCTGCCCCGCCCCAGCTCCATCCCCAGCCCTTGCTGAGGCCAGGCAGCCTCCTGAGAGGCACCCACAGGGAGGCTAGAGGTCCACCCCAGTCCCAGGCCTCCCCAGTGGCCTTAGCCAGCTGCTGGTCCCTCCCACAGGGTCAGCATCTCCGAGTCTGCGGCCTGCAAAGAGAGCCAGCCACACACGACAGAAAAGCCACCATGGGCTAGGTTAGTCACTTTTCCTGGGTGGGGTCACTACCTCAGCAGTGACTTTTTCTCCCTCCCCTGACTTGTCTTTTTCCTTGCCCTGCATGCATACATTTGATTTCTTTTTAAAGTGCTGAGCAAGTGGCTGAGGCTCTGAAACATTCTTTACTGATTCTATACTGTGCTCTGAATGCCGGAGGCCTTTCAAGACTACCCTCCTTCAGCTTCTCATTCTGTCACATAATCTTGTTGCACCGGGCCCTCTGAGGGACAGCAATAATCAAACCAGGGGCAACCGTCTTGCCTACATCACATCATAGGACCCTAAAGTTAGTTTGGTCTAACTGGCTTGCTCACTTTCCAGAGGAGGAAACTGAGGCCCTGAGAGCACAAGTGACTTGCCCACGGTCGCACAGGGAGCAGGAGGCAGAGCAAAGGAAGCTTCCATTCCCTTCTGAATCCATGCAGAAGGATGAAATGGAGTCCATGTGTGCTCCAGGAGAAAGAGAGCACCCAGTTAATGCAGCCACACATATACACATGACTCCTCAGCCAGGACTGACCCCCCTATCCTGGACACGAGTCCTACCCTGGCCCTGGGCAGGTCAGCAGGCTAGAGATAAGGCTCAGCCTTCAGGGTCAAGGCCCCACCCCGGGGGCATCAGTGTGGGCAATGGAACTTAGTCAACCCATGTGTTAAAATTTCTGGACCAGAGCAAGATGGGAAGTTAAATATTCTCTTCAAAAAAACCTCAAGTTCTAGCTGACATATGAGTGTCTCTATGGCCAAACTGCTGGCCTTAAAAATAGGGTAATCTGGGCTGAATGACTCAGTTGGTTAAGAGTTGGCTTGGGAGCACGGCCACTGGTTTGGTTCCCATGCGGGCCAATGACGCAGTGCCCTCTACAGCTAAGATTGTGAATAACAGCTCGACCTGGAGCTGGGCTGCCGTGAGTGGCCAGCGATGGCGTAGGCTGCAGCCCCTGCCGCAGTGGGCTGCCGTGAGCTACCGTGAGTGGCTGGCAGCCAGTGTGAGCGGCCAGCAGCTGGCAGCCAGCGAGAGCAGC